AAACAGAGGTGAGGGAATGTGGAGAGAGGAAACTGAGAGACTTAACAAGGGAAAGAATGAGAGGATGAGAGCCAGAGAGAAAGGAAGCAAAAAGCAGAAAGGAAGCAAGACAGCAGAAAAAAAAAGTGTGAGGAGGAAGAGGGGAAAATGGCATTGTCAGATTAGCATCGAGAGACATTAACAACAACGAAGCTGCCGGGACCGGACTCTTTACCCTGGGCTGCTGGAGAGGAAGATAAGCACACGCTCACAAAGGCAGACACCAGTACGCCTCCTCCCCATCCAGGCCAGGTACACATCCACCTCTTAGAAGCAAGAGAACAAAAGCCCAGGCTCAATGCGTCGCTACAAATGAACCTTAAAGTTTCCCCTCCAGACCCGCAACTGCAACACCACCCTTAATGGAGGCAAATCAGTTCCTTTGTGTTTTGTAATATGCTGAGCTTTTGTGGTCGACTGTCTGGTCATTTGTATTTGAAAGTTCTACACGGTCTACTGCAGATTTGTCCCGTTTTATGGCTTCGTCCTTCTTTGGTGTGTTATCGAATGGTGATTCATAGTTATGTAAGCTGGGAAGGTTTGAGCTTCTTATCAGCAGAGGCCAAAATAAGGAAAGCCTGGTGCTGCTTGTTTAAAAAAAAAAACGAATAGAAAGTGAACGAGAGCTTGGAAGAGCATGCTTGAGTCGCCTGCGAAATGGCCCTGGTTGTAAACATAATAAACATGCTGGGAGAATACACAGGAGATGGACTTGTGTAGTTGTTTAGTCTCCAACAGACAGGAAGATAACAAGGGGAAGGATCAGAGCAGATGCTTGTCCCAATGGCTCCTTTTCCCCCCTTTCTTCTCTCTCTCTCTGTGTCTCTGGCTTTCTCTTTCCCACCCTGTCTAGCTCTTTCTCTAATGTCTCTCGCTGGCTCCTATTGGTCATCTGAAGGGGTTTGAAAAACAGGAAGTTGAGGAGCAGGATGTAGGGAGTGCGCTCTGCCCACAGCTTGTTCTGGGACGTTGAGCTTTTAGGGCGGCTGTGCACAGGAAACAGCGCTGTCATGGTGGTGCCCGAGATTCTGGACACTGCCTGAAGTCGGAAAAGTAGTGACCCGCTCTATTTTTCCAAGTGCTATCACTAGGTTTCCCTTTACACCATCAATACCATCTTTGAAGTAAGGAATGGAGGACTTCGTTTATATTGATATTGCATTATATTGCTGTGTTAATTCAGTGCACCTCTAACTCAAAAGAAATATAATAGTATTTATATGAACAATTTGATTACTGTACAATATTTTTACTATATAATGTATATAGTGTGTGAATGTGTCATTTCTTGGTGATCTAGTGACTTTTATTAATTATCCTAAATTTGAACCTTTTGGTTAAAATAATTTAAAGCAAGAATTGAAACTTACTATAAATCTGGATCAGTCACATTTGAAGCCGTTATGAAATAGTCAATTTCTGTATAATCTACTGGATATGCTTCTTTTGATTTTAATTTCAGTAATTGGGCAATTATTATTAGCATGATTTTTGTCAGATTTTCTTTTTAAATGAATGTGTAAACACTTTTTTAATCAGAAAACACTTTCACACTTGTTGAGCCCTGTAAATATTCAGCACGTAGACGTCTCTTTGTAGTCCATGCAGTCGCTTATATTCTTAATATGTTTTCAATACAGCTGTCAGGAAACCTCAGTTTATACAGTTAAGGGATTAGAGGAACACTCTCCAAAATGACAGGTTTGTTTAAAAGAGAGGTAGTTGAAGGTTTGGCGGGCAGATGAGGGAACGCAGTGTGCGGATGTGTGTATCTGCGGTAATTACAGTGGGAGTAGGGCATGTTTTATTGAGTGTGAAAAGGCCTGACCCCAGTACCAGCCCTCCCACACTCTCACATTGGCACGTTCCGAAGGGAGAGAGAGCGAGAGGCCTATCACTAACACACGGCTTGTGTGCTCACGCCCACTCGCACATGCACGCACAGCGCAATCATTTACATTTATATAGACCCGCTCATCATGGGATCATCTCAGTTACAATACACATTCCTCCCAGGCAGTGTGAAGGACATGGGAGTTTACTTGTTTATAACACAAGTGAGTGTCAGCATGTCAGGTGGGGCCTCTCCTCTCACATTTTGAGGTGTGTGTGCGATAAATGCATGTTTCATATCTCAAATGGAAACCAAATATATATTACGTTACACAGGAGAAGATTTTTTTTTCTCTCTCTCTCTCACACTCTCGCTCGCACACGCTCTCTCTCTCTCTCTGTGTGAGTGTGTTTTGCCCCCCGTATATGCACCTGTGTTCGACCGTGTGTGAGTGAACGACCTCTGTGCAGCGGGGTCAGGGTCAGCGCAGTGAGCACATGGACATGTCTCACTAGAGATCGGCTTTGCTGTGCACATTCTGTGGGTCATGTACTCCTATTGATTTTCATGTCAGGCCCCGGCAGTTGCTCCTATAGAGACATATTCCCCGCTTATCGATCACAGTGACTGCAAATGTTTAGTAAGCAGCTTTCAAAAATGCTGGACTGGTTTAAATCAAAGATCAACTTTTGACCAGGTGCATTGCATCAAGGGAGCGCATTTGGAATGCATTTTTTTGTGAATACATTATTTCATGTTTTACTCAAGAACTGTATTGCTGCCACAAATTACATCACACATCAGTTATCTTAATGTTCACTTAGTTTTACATTCTCTGCCGTTCATTTTTGGCTTGATAGCGTGCAGTGAAAGAGTGTGTAATATTTAGGAGAGCTGATGTAATCGGCAGTGGCTTCGGACTGCTGGCTCTTCTGCCCATGTCCTGGAGCGCTGGAGGGATCCAACATGCTCTTAGTGGATCCCTCCCACAGCCAGCAAGTCCCACTGCATCCACCCTACTTTCCTATAAACCCAGCTCAAAGAGATCTCTTTTTTCTTATTGCAATTTTGCTGTGACATTTGCTTTTGAATTTACCTATGAGGGCAGTACGTACAGTATCTTTTCTCTTGCTCTGAGGTACATTTCCTCATAATTATTCACTTTTAGAAGAATATGCTCTATTATAGAACCTTAAAGGGTTCTGTCATGTACTTCATATGGCATTGTTTGAATGATTTAGTTTGAAGTCATTTAGTTTTAATACAATTTTAATTTAAATAAATGTTTTGAGTTAAACAGCTTGTTTACAACAAACAAGAAATGTTAAACATTAAAGTCTTGTGCTATCATTTAAGACATTTCTCCTTAGATTCTTTTTTGTAAAGCACACTGACACTTATCGCAAATTGTTTAAGGCAAAATATGTTTTGTTTATTAAAGAATGCATTAATATTAAAGCTCTGGCCAGTACCGATAAGCTGATATAAAAATTTGAATACACCATTTTGTCTATATACTGCAAGAGAATTTATTCAGGAATCACAAAATTGTAATGTACAGTGTAGAAAATTGATATTCATTTGGTGATCTGCTGAAAAAATTGCCTGCATTGAACTTTAATAAATTATTTGTGTGTTTTTCTGTGGAACACAAACAATATTTTGAAAAATGTATTTTGCCCATGTACAGTGGGGCCCAGTGTTGTTTGAACCCTAACATTATTGTGTGTGTGTGTGTGTTCTTCAAAAGAATGTTAGTCATACAGGATGAGAGGGAGTAATTGACAAGTTTTTTCATTTTCAGGTAAATTAGTGATAGAAAGAAAGGGCTTGAACACAAGACTCAACTTGAGCTGTAATACATTCTCCTGGACCTGATTAATTATAGGGAATAAAGGTGAAGTGAGGGAGGAGAAGGAATGCCTGAAGTGTTGTCATTGGAATGAGGTTTAAGCAGCCGTTTATTTATCATTAGCATTGTGATTGACAACATTAAATCATCATGCTCTTGGCACTCAATAAAGACCATAAAGAAACTCCCTTTTGTTAAGAAAGCTAGTATCTGTCACAAAGAGCTGCTTGGAGGTGAGATTACTCACACATGCACATTATGCCAGTTCACCGTAAATGTGTAAAACAAACATTGTTTCTATCGGATACACTCACATAGCTGCTTTCGGTTAAATGTGACTATAGCAGATAAGCTTTGTAAAATATATCATCAACACAGTCAGTACAGTGAGATAATTTGAGAACAAGTGTTTATAATGAACTAGAATGCACCAGACATTCATGACTGTTTGCATTTTTCAGCGTCCTGACAATTTCCATCGGTTCATTTTTGCACGGTAGTATCTATAAAGTCACCAGCCATCTTATTTTTTTTTCAATGTAATATTTTAGTATGGTTATAAGTGATTTATGCATGCACATCATTATTTTTGCATGACAATGATCCAATCAATTCCCGATGGACAAAATCAAGTCTTGCCCTAAATTTTTTCTTGTTGGAGAAACTTTTTAAAGGAGTAGTTCACTTTTTAAAAAAACTTTTGCTGATAATTTACTCACCCCCATGTCATCCAAGATGTCCATGTCTTTCTTTCTTCAGTCGAAAAGAAATTAATGTTTTTGATGAAAACATTCCAGGATTTTTCTCCATATAATGGACTTCAATGGTAGCCAAACGGTTCAAGGTCTAAATGACCGTTTCAGTTCAGCTTCAAAGGGCTTTAAACGATACCAGACGATGAATAAGGGTCTTATCTAGAGAAACGATCTGTCATTTCAAAAATAAATAAAAAAGTTAGTTTTATAGCCACAAATGCTCGCCTTGCGAACTCTCCTGTTCGAACTCGTTCATCAAAATGAACGAATCTTTTTTCGAGTCATTGACTCGTTCATCAAAATGAACGAGTTCGAACAGGAGAGTTCGCAAGGCGAGCATTTGTGCCTATAAAACTAACTTTTTATTTATTTTTGAAATGACCGATCGTTTCGCTAGATAAGACCCTTATTCATCGTCTGGTATCGTTTAAAGCCCTTTGAAGCTGCACTGAAACGGTCATTTAGACCTTGAACCGTTTGGTGCCCAGCAAAGTGCATTATACGGAGAAAAATCCTGGAATGTTTTCATCAAAAACATTAATTTCTTTTCGACTGAAGAAAGAAAGACATGGACATCTTGGATGACATGGGGGGTGAGTAAATTATCAGCAAAAGTTTTTTTAAAAGTGAACTAATCCTTTAACCTGGACACAGGTCACAATTGGGAAGAAAAGGCAATCACAAAGGCAATGTAAGTGTCTTGTAATTTCTCTGAACATATCTCTAGGCTTAATATTCAACAATATTATTGATCTGACTGTACTGACGCTGTTGTATGAGAACTGAACTGAGCTGGACGATAACATACATTTTTGCAGAACTGCTTTATAGAAACTAATTTAATAATTGATGATCTTTACAACAGAACTGAATCAACACTGAACTGACTTCAGCTTAACAACAGCCGAGATGCGTCATTTTCCTGTTAACTCTGTAAGGCTGCTTTGAAACAATCTGTATTGTATAAAGCGCTATATAAAAAAAGGTGTCTTGACTTGGCTCATGGACAAGCTGAGTTAAACCAGGCCTTGTGATACAGGGCCAAATGACATCCTTTCTTCTGTATCTCTGTACAAGACACTACCACTCCACCAGTGTGCCAGACCGTCTCAGGGAAATAAACAGAGACTCACGATCAACAAAACAACACTCATGCGGTAATAGAGTCCCGTTCTGGCTTGCGCGATACAAGTCATTCAGAGGTTCACCCAGCCTGTCTGCACTGCAGGGCCGTAGCTTGTCTGTGTCTGTTAAGTTGACAGAAATGTCATGACACAATGCATTACGCTTTTGGACCCACAGTCTCCGAGACGGGCATGACAGCTCACAAATACGATTTAGAGCAACAAGCCTGGATACATGTAATTATGTTTTGCTGTGTTTGAATAAGCAGAACAGCATTGTTATGTGCACACAAACACAGATAAAGCCTTCCACTTCAACCATGTACATTTTCAATCATGGAGCTCGTAAGCTTCGAATGGTTAATCCGAATGTTTTCATTTCAGTTTGACTGATTAAAAAGCGAACAAATAAGAAACTGTTTGGTTTTAATCTCTCGAGTTTGAAATTGTTCATCGGCAGTGAATAGAACATGATTTTAGAGCACGTGCATTTGCCGGGCGCATTGTAAATTAATAATAATCCCTCAGTCGATCCAGATTTTTGAGCACTCGGCATAGTTTCAGCCCAACGCCGATCATCTCGCAAAACTCCCATTGTTGTAGGTTTTCTAAACGCATTTCCATAATGAGGGTTTGAATATGGCACTCGAAACAGACAATGTGTCGTGAGGGCGAGCGCCGAAGGAAGAGACAACCATTTTTCCTTCCTGCTGGGGGACATGGTGACTGAGAAAGAACAGTGTCGGTCTCACAGCCCTGGCGTGATGCGGTATAGGGAAATGTCTGATTTTGCCTGCCCGTTGTCAGAGTTTCCTTCTGTGGACAGACAGCGTGATCTCACTCCTAATAGAGACCTGCAGACACCTAAACACCCGTTTCTGTTCAGCAAGTAATTATAGTGTTTATTTCCTGTGGGTCACTCGCAGCCTCCTGGTCATCAACTTCCACATCTTTTTGCTGGCATCGTGTGGCTACAAAGCACGCCGTGGTCTTTCTGCCTCTCTGGAGGAGAGAGTTTCTGCCCTCCCTCAGCGTCTCTCAGATGTGAGATGTGGTTACATAGGCATTTTCTATTTACGTGTTCATCTGTGTCCATGCTGGACGGAGATGATGAATGCTTCCTCTGAGAGCCGGCCGGCTCATTGTGGGCAGGTTAGCAATGGGAGACAGGGACAGAAGACGGAGCGGGGGCGACTCGCGGGCTCCCCGGGGGCAAACTGTGCTCTGAACCTTCTTGACTTGGCTTCCACGCTCTCTCTCACGTGTGAATTGCCTCATCTGGCCCAGAGGATTTAAACTTATGTCAGCCTGAGACTGGGTGCACTCTTAATCATCTTAGAAGTGAGAGCTGGCAGCGGCCGGGGTTATGAGAGGGAGAATGAGGCCTGCTTGCTGTCTCCTGAGACGCCGTGCAGAGGCAGGGTGTGTGTGCTTGTGTCCTAGGTTGTGTCAGAGAGAGATGCAGACAGAGAGATACGTGGGAAGGTGGGAAACAAGTAAAGAAAACAAGATGAGATGACCGAAGAGACATTATGCACTGTGTGTGCATTCTGAAACCAGACAGATGACTTTATGACCCGCTTATTGGTGTCATATTGGCTTATCTGCTAAGGCTTGCTTCTCTTTAAGCCTGAAGTCAGCAGGAAGCATCCACATGGTTTTCGTCTTTACTTATTAGTCTGCTTACTTTCATTCTGTTCACTGTCTGTCACATAGTTGTCAATCATTGTTAAACAGCTATGTAACTGCAGGGATGATACTTAGTAAAGCCTGTTTTAGGGCGTCTACACACTAGAGAAAGCTCTGATGGAGTGTTTGACGGATCGGATTGCGTAGATGTTTTATGAAGGGTATGCAAAAAGAAGCGTTCGAGTTTAGAATGCAGCAATATTAAAATTCTATCCAGTACCAATAATCAGTTTTCAATTTTCTTGTTATGGCTGATAACAGAGACAAATATATTCAAATTCTATAAGATTTGGTCTGAATAAACACAAAACAAAACACTATAAACTAAAATCATTGGTTTTAAATGCTACAAGTGAATTTAGGCATCACAAAATTATAATGTTTTAGGATTACATTGTATTCATCAGTATATTATATTATATATTATATTATCCTTAGCATGGTTAAAGATTAGGTCAGTGTTAGATGTCAAAAAAGGTAATATAAATGTAAAAGTAGGGGGAATGAGCATCAAAAATACATATCCATTATCCAGTGTTTTAGTTTTTGAACTAATAATACATGTCATGTGAGTGGGCCAATCTCCAGCTGTTGAAGAAAAGCAGGTGTGAAGATAAGAAATCATTGTGTGTCTCAGTTTTATATCCTTCCTGCATGTATCAGGCAGTGGAACACGGTGCGTTCAGCCGCTTTCATCTGCTTCAGACCTCCACTTTTGAGTTTTCACATTACAACGGGTTTTCTCTCTTTTTTTTCTCTCTTTCTGTCTCTGATCTTCCTTTCTTTTTCTCTTTCCTTCTCTAATTCTGTTTCACAGATCGTGGTGTGGACACCTCAGGAAAAAGACATAGACAGAAAGAGAGTGAGAGAGAAAGACTCGAGAAGAAAGAGTGGAGTACAATGTGCTAGGGGAGTGAAGGCAGACCAACTCTCGTGTTTTTCTGATATTCTCGGGGTGTCAGAGAGACCAAGCAGGACGCCAAGATGGGACGGAAGAAGATACAGATCACGCGGATCATGGATGAGAGGAACCGGCAGGTCAGTAGTTGTTATGGTGCATGCTCCATTTCTTCTATTTGAACATTTTACAAAGACATTCATGCTTTTATTCAGCAAGGACTCATGGAATTGCTCAAAATTGACAAATATATTTATAAAGCTACAAAATATTTCAAATAAATGCCGTTCTTTTGAACTTTCTATTCAACAAAGAATAAAAATTATTTAAAATTGTAATAATATTTCACACTATTACTGTTTTTACTGTACTTATGATCAAATAAATGAAGCCTTGCTAAGCAAAAAAAATCTCACCGACCCCAAACTTTTGGACTACATATTATGGAAGAAAAATCTGAATCCCTTCATGATTTTGTGCACAGCAAACACAACAGGCCTGAAAGACCCATTTGATTATTGCTTAGTTTGGGCCATCTGTTCATTGGCTAAACATGTTGTCCCAGCATTCCTGGATAGACACACAGCCATAAAAAGGGACCGGGACACATTTCCAGCCATATTTACAGACGCGGCTCCCACACACCACCCTGTAATTTCGGTCCGGAGAAGTTGATGAGGCAGACAGAGCTGGTGCAAGTCAGCAAGGGGTGACTGGGGTGAATTGGGGCGACTATGGCCTCTCCCTTTTTCCTCCCTCTCTCTCTCTCTCTCTCTCTCTCTCTCTCTCTCTCTCTCTCTCTCTCTCTCTCTCTCTCTCTCTCTCTCTCTCTCTCTCTCTCTCTCTCTCTCTCTCTCTCTCTCTCTCTCTCTCTCTCTTTTCACACTGGTGGGCTTGTGCTGGGGCCGGCAGGGCCCATTGCTCCTTTTGGTTGCAGCTGCTTGGTAGTAATTAGGAGCCGCCACTGCACCTCGGCACCCTCTCATTACAAGGAGGGACAGTGGGGATACACTGTGCCCATCTCTCTCTCCGTCTCCCTATTTCTGCTTCTGCCTCTCTCTATAATATTCCTGTCCTTTCCCCAGAAAAGTGCCAATGATCTGGCCAGCGACAGAGACAGACTGGAATTCACCCTTGTCTACTCACGCTAAATATAAATAACATAACACAGCCCCGTCTGGTCGCTTTCTCTGACACAGTCATTTTAGAGAAGGGAAAATACACTTAGAAAACAGATGTGAGGCACGTACAGTTCTGGTCAAACATACATGGCATGTCTAATATCCATTTGAAAGAGGAAGTCACTCCGTTTGTCATGTTTATAGATTTGATTATGAAAAAAAGTATGCATCAGTCCACGTCTCTCAAGCTAGACTTGATGCACCCATTCACACCCGCTCAAAATATCATTTGCACTGTCTCGTCGGTGAAATAACTTTTCTTGCCATGCTCACGGAAAGCTAATTGAGGTTTTGCTCACTCTCCTGAGGGTGATAACATAACAGCCCGTGCCCTCCTCCCTCCCTCCTTGCCCCCAGCTCTCCTCCCACCTCTCTGACAGTTACTGTGGAGGTAGCAGTTCAGCCAAGTGAGAAACTCGAATTTACAGGACAGGCCAATTATCAGCATAACACCAGGTCCTGGGTGGGATCCAAATAGGAAGGCAGGCAAAGGGAAGATGTCTACTCGAAACATCAGCATCTGCACTATCTGCCCCAGCCTACAACATCAGCAAAAAGAAAAGAAAAAAGAAAAAGCAAAAGAGGGGGCAAAGAGAAAGTTACTGTAAAATCACTTTTTTTTCTAGTTCAGTGTATTTAATTCCAATCTTAATGGGATAGTTCACCTCAAATTTTTGTTTATTTTTGAAATTTTTGTCTTTATTGGCACATGAGAGGACAGTTTCGGAAAACCAAGGCTAACAACTATGAGCAAGGTCTCGAAATCGGATCACTCAAAGCCTATAAATGCCTCATTCATTCATTCATTCAAAGCGGATCACTCATCTCCTACCAAAAAATGTAATTGTCATCATTTACTCACTCTCATGTCCAAATGTCTCAGTGTTGTTTTGTCCATACAATAAAAGTCACTTTTATCTAATGTTGTTTTATACCCCACAAAAACAGTTTCACATTCTTTAGAAATTCTTCTATTATGTTCCACAAAAGAAAAAAAAAGTCATATATTTTTGGAAGGACATGAGGGCGAGTAAATCATTTGGATGATCCCTTTAAGAATTCATTCACTCGCATTGACTTGCAACTTTAAACGTATCACAACACAGCCTTTTCTTTTCCCTGCTGTTATTACAGAGCTTGAGAGACAATACACCACACAGTAATTAATTACGCTCTTGTCCGTCAGAATCCGAATTTCATGGTGCTCATCGGAGAGAGTGGTTATCAGTGGCACACAGGCTCAGCCATGAGTGTGGTCGACTTGCTCAGCAGAGAGTTCTTGGAGACAAATGGAGAACGATGTAAGACTTAAAGCCCTTTTATTAGAGCTTTTGCGTGCATTCGCACACAGTTCTTTCCCCCCCCCCCCCCCCCACTAGCATGAACCCGGTCTCCTGCTCGCTCTAGGGTGCTCTCCTCACCCTGGGGAGATGGCCATTAGCATACTGGGCCCGTTGAAAGAAGACAATTAAAATCCTTATCTGCGCGGCTGTGCCGGGAGCTATCTTTATTCATTGCATTAGAATGAGAGAATGCCTTAAGTGGCCTAATTAAATACAGTGGCGGTTCTGCACGCAGCACAGGCTTCGGCAGGGGCATCTCGAATCATTATGTGAAGGGATCTTGAAAGCCTGTTGACCTATCAGGATTTATTTAGGAGAGCTTAGCGGGGGTCGTGATGTCCACAATTGCAGTATCTGTCAAAACAATGGGTTCAGAGGCAAGCCGCGGGACGTTCATTGTGCCGTTCCTGCACGTATCCTGCAAAATTATTCACCCCCAAGAGGTTTGTAAGATCTTAGTGAGCGTCGAATCCTGCTCTTTGATCGATTCGCCATGAAATTTGCTAGGAAAAAAGACCGAAGGCATAACAGACGTCGATTCAACCATTGATTGAGTCCCATCAGTGGAAGAAAGAGGTATGAATTCATTATTTCATGAGAATGAAGGCATAGCATCTCTGTTCTTACTCGGCAGCACGCTCAGACTCTATGAAATATAGAGGAGCTGGAGGTCCTGTCATGCATGCATCCCTGTCCTTCTGGGGCTTTCCACCAAAAGCCCCTTAAGTGCGGCCTGTAGGAGGAGGAAGGAGTGACAGCGAAAGGAGAAGAGGAGAGGATTTGGTGAGCCTCACTGAACAGCTCAGGCTGACATACTAATTGCAAAGCTGTGTAAGGGGGACGACTGCCATAATAGCGCAGGAGGACAGAATGATCCTGAACCCCCCTCCCTTTCTCTCTCCACCTGTCCATCGTCCACTCATTACAAGCTCTGATTTCCTCTACGGCTCTTCAAACCTGTAATTATATGTCCTGATAATGTCGTACACCTGTCTCATTTGCAGCGCATGTGATAGTGGTAGTAACATGCTTTTGAATTTCTCCCCTAGTAGAAAACTTATAATTGCGGTGATGGTCTCAAAGGACCCTAATGAGAGCTACCTGTCACTGTGAAAACAGCATCACTCCATTGTAGCTCTGATTGTGTTGTGACAGCTCTTTGATTCAGAGAGGATGGAAAGTATTATCGTGAACACAAGAGTAAAGACTCGAGGGAAGAGTTCTGCAAAAGCACGCACAGGAAAAACTTCTTGTTAAGCCGAGAGAGAGAAATTGTCGCTCGCAATTTCATCAGGTATCTTTTGGCTTTGTTTCCATACAGTCGACATGCTCTCTCGCAGCTGGGTTTGTGTGCGAGTGTGTGCGTTTGGACCTCTGTGCCTAACGACGTCCGCTGTACGCCATTAAGCAGGCTCACTAGGGGTAATTACCCAAGTCATTAAAAGTTTGATGATTTCACTGCTGGGTGGAGTGTCACCCGCCCTTGCTTTGGCTTACTTTTGCTTCCGCATGTCGCATGTTCAGGAGTGCCGAGCCTCTTGGTCTCTGTTTTTTTTTTTTAGGCAGGAAAAAAGTGACGTGCATCCTTCCATTTTATTAGACTCCTCTTCTTCTCTCTCCTAAAAGGTTCTGAGAGAACACCATTATTCTTTAATGATAAAAACATGGTTTAGAAACCAGGAAGTGAAAAAAGGTTTCAGAAAAATAAATAAATAAATAAATAAAACAATAAAAAAAAAGTTCTCTCAAAGTGCCCTTTCCGATATTAGGCGTCCTTAAATGATTGTAATTGCAGCTAAAGTGGATTATTTAAAGCAAAGGGAGTTTTGTTTTTGGTTTAACTGCATTAGAGTATAGCTCTAGGTTTGTAAGGGGAAATAGTGTGGGAGGCTTTCTGTCTGTAATTCATGTTTGATGACAACAACAATGAAATGCTCAGAACAATGAAAACTCCACCCACCTCCCTTCAGTTATTCATCGTGGTGGCAGAACATCAACAACACAGAATGAAAAGTCATAGAAATGCACATGATCTTTATATCCGAAAGAATGTGTTCATTGATTTCTTTTCATGTCAAGCTTGTTGGCCTCATTATTCATTCAATAAACCAAACAAGTGCTCTGCTCTAACACCTAGCATATAATAACACCTGCATATTGCCTGCTATATGGTAATCATTTATTTATATAAATAATTATATTTGCTTTTTATAAATATATATATATATATACTGTATATATATATATCATTTATAATAAAGTAAATACATATATTATAATTGTAATTTTAATAGTGTTTCTGTAATCAACATTTGTCCACCAATTTTTTTTATAAATCAAACTGACCTTGTTGCAATGCATTTGCAGTACTGAATTACAATTAAATTGTGCAGTATTTATTTATTCAAATATATACAGTATATTAAACAATAACATTCATTATATTTAATAAATATACTAATATATACATTTATTACCATTTAATAAACACCTTATATGCAGGGCCGTATTAAGACAAAAGGCCCCCTATATTCAAATATCTCAATTTAAAATGTACATCAATTAATTGACAGCGTCAATTCACGTTTGCCCAAAAAATAATAATAAATCTATCAG